GCACTGAGAGAGAGAGGGGTTCATACAGACACACTGACTGGACACTCCAGTACATTAACACTGCACTGAGAGAGAGAGGGGTTAATACAGACACACTGATAAGAAGCTCTATCCCTGTTTCCCACATCATATAACAAAATACAGGCTTTGTTTTCTTCTATAATCCTACTGTGTAGTTTAGTGCCATGTGTGTATAATAAACCGCTACTTCATTTACCGAACAGGATGATATGTTGGCCTGAATCACACCAGCACAGATCATCGATTCTGTTACATATGGAAAACTGTAGAGGTTATAGATCTGATCAACACACTCTTTGTTCTCAATGAGTGGCAGCTGGACCTGTTGTAGGGTCTGGTTCCCTGACAAGAATGTTGCTGAAAGACAAAACAAGAAGGTGGTCAGTGTCCTTCCCTCAGTCAGTGACAGACTCTACCATCAGCTCTACAATGTGAGGATCCTGAGGTTTTACTCATCCTGGTTCAGAGCAACATCTCCACCTCCAATCAAGGATTCAGACACTCAGCAGTAAGGAATCAGCTGTGAAGGAGCCGTGTATTCATTCCTGTGTTACAGCAATGGAGTCTGTGGAGTGAGAGTGTGCTGCAGCAGTGTGCTGGTGTAGGGGCTGATGGAAAGTGACTGGGTGACTGATGACACGTATGACTTATGTCACCTCTGACCCCCTGTCCACTGGCAGAGATCAGTCAGAGTCAGAGACAGGGGCTGCTGAAGGGGAAGTTCGTGAGAGGAGTAAATGAAGAAGAGTGTTATACAAAGGCTTTAACATGTGGAAAGACACAGGAGTGTTAGATTAACCTACTTCTGTCTGTCATGTTGCCCCAGCCGGTGAGCCAACAGCTGGTCCCATTGTGGAAGGAGCTGCCGGTGTCGGCCAGACAGATGGGCTGGATGTAGTCAGTGAAGTTCACAGGGCTGCTCAGCTTCACCAGGGCGATGTTATCATAAAAAAAATAGGAAGTGTAGGGGTAAAGAATGATCGTCTGGACCCCTCTGGACACTTGATGAGGATTCGAGCCCAGCTGTGTCTGTCTGCCCAGGTACACTGTCCACTGACTGGCAATTCTGTTGGTCCTGGAGAGAGAAGTCATCATTGTCAAAGGTCAAGTGTACTACAATGTGTAAACTCATTGCTGTTCCCTCTTTTTTCACCTGATTATACGTAATATCACACTTCCTTTAATTGGTGCTTTAACAAAAGTCAGCAGTTTCGCCCTAAACTAATCACGTTTCAGAGCTGTCACTGTTGTCCTCACTAGTTATCGGTGTTATAGAATATAAAGATTGACGATAGCTAAGGCCTAAAAATGCATCTCTGAGAATATATATTGAAGATCCCTTCTACTTCCTTACCAATAGAAGCAAATTGCAGATGTCAGCACCCAGTCACTGTTGATCAGTGAGCCTCCACACAAGTATTGACCATTCCAGTGCAGGCTGGCCTGCCAGGGCCAGGACCCCTCCTGGGCATAGTCTCCCTGCAGGGCACTGGGATTCAGGGGCGCCTGGCCGCAGGCTGGAGAGACAAGAGACAGAGAAGAGAGACTAAGGGTGATCTGTCCATCTCCTATCCCAACTTCCCAAACACAGTGACTCTAAAACAGATAAATCTGTACAAAAAAAGATTCAGCTGCACATTCAACACTAGAACTAAAAATTGAAAATTTAACTGTTGAGAATTATATTTGTTGCTTATTTTACACCTTCACTTAATGGAAAACACTGTAACCTCCTGGAACATGACATCTGACATCTGCTAAGCTAATAAAAATAGAAAAATAAAAACAGCTATGAAGTAATGCAACAACGAATATGGAATTTTGATAGAGGTGACTCTTTAGATTTTCTGTACTTTATTGAATTTGCTTGTTCAAATGTACAGACACTTTGAATGTACATTTTACCAGCCAAAGAAGATAGATGTCACGATCGTACACTCTTAAGGGCGCTCCGACTCTTTCACTTTGTTGTTGATTTTGTGCACCTGCCTCCTATCCAGCCCCCCTTATATAAGCCAGACTCTTACTATTCCTGGCTCAGCATTGGAAGTTCTGGAGTGGCCCAACAGCACAGGCTTCATCACGGCGTCCTGACCATCTGGGTCCGGGGCTCGAGCGCCTAGCCTCATTAGCCCACTTTTATTCCCAGCCCCTGCACCGGATCCCATTCCGGTTTTGAAACCTTGTCCTGTCTTTGTTCCATTTGAATTAACCGGCTCTGGAATTTTGGACTTCACCCTGGATTTCCCTTTGGACCCCCTTGGACTAGTTCGCCAGGACCACAGCCAATACATTTAACAAATAGTCCCTTGGGCATAATAAAGATTCTTTCTGTAGTACTAAAATACAATAAATAATATGTATACAGCATTGAGATTTGTAATTATATTACATATCACAGTATTTTAAATATTAAAATAATATTAATAACACAAATGAACCTCCAGACCACCAATCTTTAAAGGAATTTAAAGATGTCCTAAAACAGAAATCACAATTGAGGTTTTTACGTCTATATTTGCTTTTAAATACTAATTTTTAAAGCCAGTATGTATATGTTTTTGCTACCCTTTTTTTCTTCTTAGTAGTTGATAAAATTATAGTTTTTATAATCATTTGGTTTCACCAAAGTTGTTGAAGAGCCTTGTCGCATAGTGCCAATTTTATTTTTTCATTTCATTTTCTGATGTAACACTGAATGGAATGTCTAATGTCTTGGTGATTGCATAATCTCCTCACAGTGGGCTGTATTCTTTTATAATCCTTGATGCGTGAAGAAGCACAAACCAAAAAACTTTGTGAAGCTGGAAATTTAGACTTCTGTTAACATATTTACTAAAGTCATCCGACTAAGTAAGCTCATTTTGTGAAACAGTCCCCTGGTGCTCATTGATTCCCCAATAATCTAAACACAACACAACGCTGGCAGACGCTGCCTGAACTCACACGTGGGTACAATCTAGTGTTAATAACTATTCTGTTTTTAAATATTTCAGATTTGTTTTGAGATTTGTATCTGTTGTAATTGTTAATGCAATGGCAAATATAATTCCAATTCTTCAGTTTTCACCTAATATTGTGAGTCATATACTCAGGTGTGTTGCACCTTTGATGTAGTTGGGTGTACAGTATTATTTAACACAGGTTTAGTCGTAGTGTTTGATGTTTGTACTTTACTAACAAATCAAATCCGCATTTTTATTTATTCGTGGCATAATTTGTCTAATATATTTTTAAGTCACATTGTTAAGCAGTTACATCCATATCTATCTATGGCAGCATCCTGGTGCCACAAGGGAAAACACTGGAAAAATTACTGTTTTGTGAGTCATTCTTTGAAAGGCATTCAACTCTCCACATGCCTCTTTTTTACTTGCTTATTTGCTGTTAAATATGATATGATTTAAAGCCAATAGTGTATGTTAATACATTAATACAATTTCAATGTAAATACAATAATACAATTTCAAGAATTAAAGTCTAAAATAAAATGATCTGTTTGCTAGTTACTAGTTATACACAATTACTAATAATTCTTTATCCTGTATGGAATTAAAAACATTTTCTTTGCGTTACTGTACAGTATGATTAGTGCAGGAAAGCACAATTAACTAACATTTACTTTTTTATTATTAAAATATGATTTTTATGACACATGTCCACATGCAGCTGGATTAACTGCGCCACCTGGCAGTTTTACAGAGTTTTGCAGTCCAGCATCAGATTACTTAAGAAAAATAAAAAACGGCGGTACCTTTTGGTTGTTGCTGTGTACCACATGCCACCTTGTGCATTCTAAATGCCTACTTCTGTAGCAATATTCCCTCATTTTCATTCAGTCTTGCTATTAGATGTCATCCACTATCCACTTCTTAGAAGGAATTTTAATTTCAAAGCACACACGTTTAATAACCTGATGTTATTTTCATTTTGTTTGAGAATACAGTATTTGAAAGTTATTTAATACTTTCAAAAACTTAGTCACATCTCCCACTTCAAATTAATAGTATTTTTTACTGTATTATGTCATTTCTAGGGAGATAGCAAAGCAGTTAAACGTTTTCGTAATATAGGGCCAAATGCAGGTATATAAACACCAGAAAACCAGCAAGCATCTGCATGAGCAAACAGCAAGCTGTTTACAGCAAGCAAGTGTGGTACAAGCAAACCGAAATCCAAAATCTGAAATCCGAACTCAGAGCTGAGAGAAACAAGAAGACATCATACTAACACCAAGCACAAGGGGGAAATCCGATGTATGTAGGGGTCCAGAATCCAGGAAGCAAACACGGAGAGAATGCAGAAACTTCAAACAAGGTGAAACTTGAAACTTGAACTCTATGACAGAGTTTCAGAGCACTGCCAGATCACAGCTTATGTAGGCTTGAACCACCTGAGGCGGCCATGGTGGAGAATTGCCTCCAGGTGGTACAAGACTCCTGTCAGATTAATTACCATGGTGACTGGCACTATAAGACAGGTGGCTTGCTACTGTCTAAATACTAGTTCTGGACCATTTTTACCATGTGCCCTTCCATACATCTGTAGCAATGAACATGACTGTGAAATCGTTAATGACAGACACCTGTCCAGAAGCTGTGTGAAGAACTGTTCTTCACAGTAAAAAGTGAAAGAAAAGATCTTAGGCTTAATGTTATGAGAGAAAAGTCCGATTTTTAATTTTGAAATAAAATCGCAAAATAATTTAAGTTAAAAGCAGTTTCATCTGGGCTCTCTGATGTGAACCTCAAGAAGATCATTTAATCTTTTAAAAAAAACAGACCATTTTTACCAGACACAAATTCACTTTAGATTCATCTCCTGTGTTATTCTTTTTTTAAATGACTTCAGTTATTATCCACTCCTGTGGATAAACTGTGCTGATAAATTAGGATAGTAGTGCTCATCAGAGCACTGAGAGACACAGGACAGCCACTGGCCAGACAGACACCACCTACCTCTCACTGTCAGGATCAGAGCCGCCAACACGCAGAGACTGATGCCTACCGCCATGACTGCTATTGTGTCAGAGTCCTGTGTGCAGCTTCTCCTTTCTCTCCTCTCTCCCTCCGTCTGTCTCCTGCTCTGATATACACACCTGGAGAGACACGCCTCATGTCCCTCCCTCTCTCCCTCCCTCTGTTCTCATCCTCTGTTCTCTCTCTCTGTCTCTCTCTACATCTCTCCCTTCCTCTCTGTCCTCCTCTCCCTCAGGGTTTCACTGGGGATGTCCTGTTGACTTCAGTAATACTGCAGCTCAACAAATTTATAACAAAGAAACAATCAGTAAAAAACCCACACAACAGGACAGGAGACACAATGAGAGAGAGAGGAGATCACAGAGAATCCCTCTGTATTAAACACACACAACAGGACAGGAGACACAGGGAGAGAGAGGAGATCACAGAGAATCCCTCTGTAATAAACACACACAACAGGACAGGAGACACAGTGAGACAGAGGAGTGCACTTTAACTATGACCCCACTGTGATTTACAACACTTGTACCTTGATATCACTTTTTTGGATTCCCAAACGATTGAATGTTGAAATACCCACAGGAACTGTCAGAGCTCTTCTTGCTCGTGGCCGATTTCTGTGACCCCTGTTAGCCATGGAAGAACCTGACTGCTTGATTCTGCAGAGGAGAGATTGACCAACAGAGTGAAAATGACTTTGGCAAAAGCCTCTCAGTGTCTCAGTTAATATCAGGTTCTGCTAATGTAAAAGCTTCGTTTATACATTATGACAAGTGCAGGACTAAGCTGTTAATCCAGGGTTTCTCTGTCTTTTCCATCCCACAGCACTTCCACTACACTTACCTAAAGCTTTTCTTGCTTTTTATGTCCATGGATCATGAAACTCTACATGTGATTCCCGATTTAACAGTCTTGCAGTGTGGTCTTTGTCTATCTGGAATATACAACATGACACTTTGGTTACTTCACAATTTAATATATTGTAACGCTTACGGCCGACAGGCACTGTGTAAGAGCCGGTGTACCAGAGCAGGTGATGTCACTGCCCTTCCCTGTGATAGCAGGACTACAGCTACTGGGCTGTGGAGAGATCTCTCTTTAGCTCACGGGCTGGGTCGCTGCAGAGAGACGCGGAAGTCCCAGGTTTGAGCCTCAGTCGGGATGGGGCCGACCTAATGCGGCAAGGGCGCCCGCCTGAGCTCGCGTTGCGTTACAATATAGTTCCCAATATCTGAATTATTAATTTCTCTCTCACATGTAAGTTCTGCAGGAGGTGTAGTGGGAAATTTTACAACAGAACTTCCATGAATGCTGTAGTCCAAAACAGGACAGAAGACACAGAGAGAGAGAGGAGATCACATAGAAGCCCTCAATAATACACACAAACACAACAGGACAGGAGACACAGTGAGAGAGAGGAGATCACAGAGAATCCCTCAGTAATAAACACACACAACAGGACAGGAGACACAGTGAGAGAGGGAAGTGTGCTTTAACTATGATCTCATGGTGATTTACTACACATTAACCTTGATATCACAGTTCTGGATTTAATATCAACACAATAATTACAGTGTGTGAGCTATCTGTGATTGATCAAAAGGTTTTATGTGCAGAAATGTGGTTTCATGGTACAGAAATTCAGGGAAGTCTTATTTGGAGTGGTGCATCACAGGAACTTGTTTTTGCTGTTTTGTGGCTCTGCAGGTGGTTTCCATCAGAAGCTCTTAACCTCACAGGTTGTTTTCTATTACTTGAAATAAGACGTCTTCCCCTTTACGAACTGACAGGATTAGTTCTGCAATAGATGAGAAAATATTGAAATACCCACAAGAATGGACAGAACTCTTCTTGCTCACAGTCAATTTCTCATAGCCCTGTTAGCCATGGAAGAATCTTATGTAGAAGTCTGACCCTGACACAAGATCATTTCTGACCTGGGTTGAGTGCATTTTAAACACTCCCCTGTTGTGTGTGACATTTCAGAAGTAACTGCAAGGAAGGGATGACATCTCCTGGAATAGCCACTGTCCTACGAACTGAATTATTTTCTACAGTCATAACGGTGTACATAGGCAATGGTCACTTCTAAACACTCATTCATGGTAATAACACAGGGTCACCAGAGCTGTGCTCAGACTATAAAACCTTCCCGCAAAACTGCTTGTGCTTGGAGCTCTATGGGGGAGACACCTGGTGTGTCTCCTTTGGGATTCTCCAGAAATGGCCTATTCCAGCACAAATTAAAACTCATTTTAAACCCTCACTGAAGAGCGCTGTGGCTTCTTACATGTCTACAATCCGCTGGAAGATCTTCATGTTTCTGTGGTGTAAGTGTGCTGTGGGATGGAAAAGGCTGAGAAACACTGGATGAACAGAGACTCTGTAGCAGCTTAGTCCTGCACTTGTCGCAATGTATAAATGAAACATTTGCATGAGTAGAAAATGGTATTAACAGTGAAAAACTGTCTTTGTCAAACTCATTTTCATACTGTGGCTCAATATATCCTCTGCAGAATCAGGAAGGCTCTCAGAAATTGACTGTGAGCAAGAAGAGTTCTGACTGTTCTTGTGGGTATTTCAATATTTTCTCATCTATTGCAGAACTAATCCACAGAAATTGACTGTGAGCAGGAAGAAAGGAAGAAAAAACATTCTCAGGAATAGTCACCAATGTCTCCTAATCCTTCACTTGTGCATATCAAGTTCTCCTGTTGTTAATGTTTCATTTCTAGATTGTAAAAATCGCAGGACTGTTCATCCATTTTTTCTCAGCCTTTTCCATCTCACGACACACTTACTCCGCTCTTCAGTGAGGGTTTAAAATGAGTTTCAAATCAGCTCCACCTGATTCTGAGCCACAGCTACAGCACAGCCACACTGCAGCCCCGGGCAACACCTCCACAACACCTGACAACACCGGATCACACAGCGGTTTGTAAAACCCACTTCAAATGCACAAAATGAGATCATTATCAATCAGAAATGGAAACTGGACACGGGCAGACCTGGCTGCCCAGAGAGGACAACAGGCTCAGTGACCACAGCCTGGCCAAAGAAACTGGACACAGGCAGACCTGGCTGTCAATAGAGGACAGGCTCAGTGACCACAGCCTGGACATAGAAACTGGACACAGGCAGACCTGACTGCCCAGAGCAGGCAGGCTCAGTGACCACAGCCTGGCCATAGAAACTGGACACAGGCAGACCTGGCTGCCCAGAGAGGACAGGCTGTGCTCCCACTGCCAGCGGGGAGAAAGAGAGACAGAGGTGCACTTCCTACTGCACTGTGACAAATATTCTGGGATTAGACAAACATTTTTCCCCAAATTTACAAATCTTATATCAGAACCCCCACACCTGCCAGAACAGCTCCCAATCCTACTGGGAGAGTTCAGGTGAACTGGCAGCCCAGTATGTGATCTCCTGTCACAGACTGAGAAACAGTGAGCCTGTCTCTCAATAATTCTCCATATGTCTGTATGTAAATGTATTATGATGTCTCTGTTTAGTAAATGTCTGCAGATCTTATGTTAACTGTATATGCTTTGGCAACACTGATTTATTCTTTGGCCATGTCAGTAAAACTTCTTGAATTGAATTGAGAGAGAAGATCACAGAGAATCAGTAATAAACACATACAACAGGACAGGAGACACAGTCAGAGAGGGAAGTGTGCTTTAACTATGATCTCATGGTGATTTACTACAAATTAACCTTGATATCACAGTTCTGGATTTTATATCAACACAATAATTATAGTGTGTGAGCTATCTGTGATTGATCAAAAGGTTTTATGTGCAGAAATGTGGTTTCATGGTACAGAAATTCAGGGAAGTCTTATTTGGAGTGGTGCATCACAGGAACTTGTTTTTGCTGTTTTGTGGCTCTGCAGGTAGTTTCCATCAGAAGCTCTTAACCTCACAGGTTGTTTTCTATTATTTGAAATAAGACGTCTTCCCCTTTACGAACTGACAGGATTAGTTTTGCAATAGATGAGAGAATATTCAGAACTCTTCTTGTTCACAGTCAATTTCTGAGAGCCTTCTCGATTCTACAGAGGATATATTGATCCACAGTTTGAAACTGAGTTTGACAAAGCCAGTTTTTCACAGTTAATACCAATTTCTACTCATGTAAATGTTTCATTTATACATTGCGACAAGTGCAGGACTAAGCTGCTACAGAGTCTCTGTTCATCCTTTTCCATCCCACAGCACACTTACACCACAGAAACATGAAGATCTTCCAGCGGATTGTAGACATGTAAGAAGCCACAGCGCTCTTCAGTGAGGGTTTAAAATGAGTTTTAATTTGTGCTGGATTAGGCCATTTCTGGAGAATCCCAAAGGAGACACACCAGGTGTCTCCCCCATAGAGCTCCTAGCACAAGCAGTTTTGCGGGAAGGTTTTATAGTCTGAGCACAGCTCTGGTGACCCTGTGTTATTACCATGAATGAGTGTTTAGAAGTGACCATTGCCTATGTACACTGTTATGACTGTAGAAAATGATTCAGTTCTTAGGACAGTGGCTATTCCAGGAGATGTCATCCCTTCCTTGCAGTTACTTCTGAAATGTCACACACAACAGGGGGATGTTTAAAATGCACTCAAACCCATTCAGAAATGACTCAGGCCAGGGTCGGACTTCTACAACGTTATGTCTTGGGATCCTGAAACAGTGAAGTGTCTCTACATGTGACTCCCGAGTGAACAGTCTCGCAGTGTGGCCTGTGTTACTCCACAGCGCAAACCTACAGCAACTGTATCTGATGTCTTGATTGCTTTCTCACAGGCCTCCCTGCCGGGTCAGTCTCTGGGCTCAAGACTGGTGGGTTAAGGGTTAAAGACACTGCTGTTGGACCTTGAGTGAGGTACTTCAGTCCAGTGGCTCCAGTTCACCCAGCTGTGATGACAGGAACCATTGGACTTTTTTAGAAAAGTGGATTTACTGTACAAATACACGTTCATACCTCTCTTTAATCCACAGTTGTGACCAAGATACACTGCTCAGGGGGACTGACCTACAGTAAATGCCTATGACTTTTGGCAAGTGTTAAGATGTGCAAGTTAACATTCATGCTTTGGTGCAGTAGGTATCACCTTCCAGCCCTTAAGAAC